CAAAAATATTTTCTTTATTTGGTTCTGTTTCTAGCACTATTTTACTTTTGACGGTACAACACATTGAAACAAACGTCTTAGATATGATATGAGGGCGATCTCTGTCACTATTGTTACATATTCTAGCATATCATTCACGTAGTTCCAGTCTATATTGCTTTTATTTACATAATATTATTAACAAGTCTCGTCCCGAGCTTGTACTACAGCACTGATCGGCACTTTATTATAAACTTAGTAGATTATTGTAGATTAAAAAACGGCAGACATCGATTTGATAGCTCAGTGGGCACTTTACGGTTTATCGCAGTAAATGTCAACTAGCTTTATTAAAACTATGATTTACTTTGATATTTTTAAATAGACAACGTTGCGATTACCTAGGAATTCTCAAACACAGCGATCCATCCATACATACACCTATCTATCTATCTAGACGACTTCCTAACACAACTACATGCATACTCAGTTACATTATACGCAGGCCGCATGCTTAACAATTTACTAAAGAATTATTACTAGTAATTAAATTTGTACTAAGCGAAGTCAAAGGCGGCTTTTATACAATAAAATATTAATTATAAATGCTCCATGCCGTCTTACATCCGTCGTTTTATTCCTATTGCTTAAAGTTGGTGTTTTGAAGTCAAATCACATGTCAGGAGATAGATACGTCGAAATATTATATTTAGAACTGTCTTAAATTACCGACACGTCAGTTTATATTAATTTTAATTAAAATTTTTAGTACAAAGTATCTAATATTTTTTACTCTGTGTTCGATTTTAAATGGCAATACTAAACTGGGTGTTGCCATTTGTAAAATGTTAAAATTACCGGAAAAAAGTATCTACTGTTAGATAAGTGTTTCGATATACTTGAGTGGTTACATAAAGGTATGTATCGATCTATACATTCTATTAAACTTACATAAATAGGAATTTTAATTTCATAGTCAGTTTTAATAGGTCAATATAACAAGGCCTATAGCTATTGAGTTATTTTGAATAATTCTTGAATATTTATTAGGATGCTAACTACATAATAAATAGTTGATTACATCATTTGCTTATGTATAGAGATATTGTTAAAAATATAATACGAAAGCGCTTGTGTTTGACCAAAATGGAATTTTAAGGATAACGATATTAAGTTCATAATTTATTGATCGGTAAATCATGAACTTGAGAAAACTGGTAATTTATTGTTCTAGAACACCAGTTATGATCAAACACATACATTTTCGAGCGCACGCAGCCGTAAACAAGCACGTAGAGACTCCTTAGTATTGAATTAAATGTGTCTAATTTTTTTTATCATTCCTATTTGTTCCAGAAATGGATAATGTAAAAAGTCCACTAGAGGGCCTAGTGCGACTTTTTTAACGTTAACGCGATCGAAACTTTACCGCGTTCAACCCTCTGATTGGTTGTTTAGTTGGAGCAGACCAATCAGGAGCGCCGAACGTCATAGACATGTCGATCAAATGGCCAAATTATTTTTTTAACTGTATAATCTCTATTCGCTTAATTTAGGCATAAATAACATCCTCTCACGTCACAAATATCATTAAAACCAAGAACATTCACTCACATGCGGTATTTCAAATAAACTGAGTATAATGTAAACGAGCCACTCGTTACCGAACCTTAGGCATAAGAGTAGACGTAGCTAGGATATTTGGAAATCATCAAAGTTCTGTCTAAATTAACAAACATCATGTTAGCTTCAGATCAAACGTCGCAAGTGGGTATGGATAGGCCATAGGCTCCGAAGGGGTCCCGACCATATTCCCAAGCCACCCCAGGATTGGAAACTCCAGGGAAAAATGTGACCGTCCTCGGCAAACCCGGAGTTGTACTGTGATAGAGGCGGCAAGCATAGGAATTACGTGGTGCGAGGTGAAGTGAGAAGCTCAAGACTGGTCGAAATGGAGAACCTCTGTGGACGCCCTCTACCCCCATCTAGGGGATATAGGACTATAAGTCAAGTCATTTTAGCGACAAGATATCCACAGTTAAATAACAAATTCCTGACCGACCAGTATCATATTTGAACCAAAGTTGCTAACATAGCCCAACAGATGGGCAAGCTGAAATTGTTAGTGGATAGGACATAATATTATATCGCTGAAAAATTTTAATCTAATAGGATAATTTTAATTATCAGTTTCGATCTTTCTGTAATAAAAGATGGGTAAAATGGGTTGATCATTTGACCGGTAATCAATATCTGCTGCATGAGCATCTATCTGCTTGCTGCATACCGCATGCTGTAGATTCATTCCTTCAGCGTAAGAAAAAACTAAATATTTTCTCATTTGTTAGTGTAACATGGTGTAACACCTGATTCTATTTTATACTGATTACTCATCAATCAAACTTCATGATGATCAGAAGTTCTGATAGACAAATTGACTGGCGCAATAAGAGGAAACGGCTCACTAGCGCCACCTAGGGAGTTCAAAATTTAATGCAGTCATGGCAATAAATTCATTCCACCACAAAAGTAAGAAGAAGGACCAATACAAGACAAATTCAGCCAGATATGAAAACCAAAATACCCTAGCCACATCTCATCACGACCATGCTCAAACATTGCCATACGGAATCCATCCATTTCCAATCTCCTACATCATAATAATTTACCTACTTACTACAACGACCTAATGGAGGCAGAACAATGTCGCAAATACTTTCACAATGTTATGTTTCAAACGAACCTTGTGGCATGAGGTTTTTATACTATTTTTTTTTTATTGGCTTCAGATTTGGTGAACATTGTAATGTTTGTAAGGCGTCGAATCGTTTGCGCTTGTCCTGTGTTAATATCTGAACTCTTGTATTATTAACATGACATAACATCACGCCTTTTATCCCAGAACGGGTAGGCAGAGGTGCACACAGAAGTAACACCCACTTTTCACTATTTATGTTATGAGTCCCATGTAATAGGGGGTGAACCTATTACCGGGCACATTTCCAGACTCCGTGCTACTACTGAGATTTTTTTTATAAAAAACCCAGTAATACTTTGCCCGACTCGGGAATCGAACACGAGACCCCTTGCCACCACTCGGCCATCGAGGCAGTCTTGTATTATTACTATGAGAATAAAGTTTTAATAAAAGAAAAGCAATAGAATTTCGAGAAATAGCACATGTATGACGTCGGGGTGGACCACCAAGGCCCGCCGGACATTATTACACACGCATTGGCTGTCACAAGACGCGTGCGAGTGACAGTATTCAAAACTTATGGCGCAGAACCAAACTCCGCATTTGCTCTGACGTCTCGGCGCAGTATCGGCAACGTATCGTGCGAAAGTGCGCATGTGCGGTGGATCTAATAAAATATGTAGGTTTTACAATCCTAGTGCACAGTTGAAGTAACTGTAAAGTTCATGTATGACTTGGCAGTACTTTTCAAATCTTTTATGATTCAGACAAACACACTGGACAAACGCAAAAGAGAATCTTATTTAGTTTTAATTAGTTTCGTTTTTGTAAAGCTTAATGTTGTTATGGAAGAAGGGCGGAAGAATTTAGTTTCAGTTTAGTTGATTAGTCAGCCAAGTCAGTTAGGTAAGAGAATAAAGATTGATTCAGTAGTTACCATTGGTTGGTAAATGTTTTCTGTGGGACAAGCCCGCCACAACCTCCCAAAACCGCAGCAACTCCTGTAAACCAGTATCTACAGTAGATATAACCATGAAAACACCGAGACACTGAAGTCCGGAGCGTCACAGGGACATGAATAACTGTCTTGATTCCCGTAACGAAACAAATCAGAAGATATTAATATAGGAGAAGGAAATAAAACTAATGTTTTCACTTCCCTAGGTGAATTTATGCAGAATGACTTAAGCATAAAGGCACAAAAGAGATTGCATGATTGGTAGAAGCCCAGTCGCGAAACACCACCAAAAATGTCACTAAAAACTAAATGGGTCCTATGTATGGGCTGTTATACTTGCTTCCAATAATATGTATGGCCAAAACGGCTACTGAGTCTACCAATGGCTAGGAAAGATACGACTTCGTTAAAAAGCATTACTATAATAATACCTATTGTCTCTGTACTGAATCAATCCCTATTTATACCGACTTCATCCTACCTGCATACCTAACTTGGCTGTCTATACTTATTGCATAAAGCTTGGGCTGTAAAAGCTCGGTTTTAAGAAAAAAAACTAACTTCTTTTTTAATAGCACATACAAATATTTCTCATCATTCCTTTTTTTTAATCAAATTATCTCTTCTGTCAGTATAGATCAAGAACACATTTTTATAAAACGATTTTTTTTGCGAATTTTCACCGCTAAGAGCGCTGCTATAGAATTTAAAGTACATTTAATTAGTAGTCTATTAATTTTATACAATTTGACCGCGACACAGATTATAGTGACAGGACTTAAAGCGCAAGTGGCGCCAACTAGTAGACAAAAACGATAAACCTTTATTTAAAGGAAAAAGAAATGGAGGTTTTATTATTTAACAATATTTTTAACCTCATTGAAAACGATTGTTTTGAAGAATTACAATTAATAACTATGAACCTTATAATAGTCAATCATTAAGACGATAATCTAGCCACTTGTTTGAACACAAAATTGTTCTCTGTATTAAATAATGGCGATGAAATAAACTTTAAAATCAATACTGTGTTCAGCTTTACGTTTATTTCAATATTTCTAATACTACACCCTTTATAATTAACTATGTCAAACGACTTACTTAAACAATCGAGTTCTGAGTCGAAATTCATTTGCAGCCACAATATTGATTCTAAAGTAACGAAAACTGATCAAACATCAATCCGAATCACGAACCACTCAAATATCTTCGCTTACACATCGCTACACATGCACACATACAAAAAATTAAAGCATGAAGAAAAATATTTCCACCTCTTGAGACTATGAATATCGAATTTGTTCCTAATGTTTATAGTACATAGAGTTTATTATAGCTTAAAGTAAGACGTGTAAAGTTACTGTGTTATGAGGGCACGCGCGATGACATCTCCATCGGTAGGGACGTGGAGACCTGCATCTGGAACAATTTGTACCCTGAACTTAGAAACTACTCTAGAAGCTACTCTATTGTAATAATGGCAATCACCAATAAATCTTATGCCAATGGTGTAGTAATTTAAATCTTACCAAGTAACAATAAGAATAATAAAACTTTTCAATGGGATAGGTAAACAAGCATACGAATCGAATCGGCGCCGTCCATGGACACTCGCTAGAGGCGTTACAAAGTGCGATGCCGATCTTTGCAACATTTGCTAACTTCAAACCAATACATCAACTTTCCTAAGATGATGGAGCTCACGGAACCATACGGCTCAACAGCACCAACTATCGAGTATACAAACAAAACCCTAAATGTGTAAGTCTTACCTTGTTCTTAGCGTAGTGCGAGTGCGGCGAGTGAGTGAACACACAGTCGGCGATAGAGTCCAGCGTCCGCTCGTCCAGTACCCGCTCGTCTAGTACCCGCTCGTCCAATACCCGCTCATCCAACACTGCTTCTAATGCCGCGGCCAGCTCTGAACTCTCCGCGAATGCTGCTCCACCTTCCGCTAAAAATTTCATGAATGCATTCGTCGTTCGTTACAAATCCTACTATTCTACTAATGCTACTAATCCTAAAATTCTTTTTTTTATGGGAAACGAGCAGACGGATCACCTGATGGTAAGCAATCGGCGCCCTCCATGGACACCTGGAATCCAGAGGCGTTACAAGTGCGTTACCGGCCTTTTGGAATTTGAATTTTAGGATTGTTGGGGATTCAGGGATTGGGGTAAGAGAGGGGGGGGGGGGGTAATTGGGCATCCGGTAACCTCACTCACACGACGAAACACAACACAACGTTGTTTCACGTCGGTCTTCTGTGGTATCACTCCGGTCGAGCCGATCCATTCATGCTGAAGCATGGCTCTCCCACACTTACTTCCACATTCTACTAATATTATAAATGCTAAAGTTTGTGAGGATGTTTTTACTCTTCGACACAAAAACTACTGAGCCGATCTCATTAAAATTCAACACAGATATATTAATCTAGAATTTCACATAGGTTACATTTTATTCTAGATATACCTGAAAAAAGCCAGTAAATGATAATGATACAAAATAGAACATCAACTATAGGTTACCTTGATTGAAAAACTCCGTGAACGCTTCATCGGGTATTTGACTGAGCACAGCAGGATCCAATATGTCGTCCGGTGGTACGTGGCCGACTTCTACTTCTGGAAACGAAACACACGATTAAATAGAAACCATTCAAAATGTTGTAAGTACTCCTAAGTATTTTTAGTAGCGGACTTTGACTTTAAAATGGGTGCTGAATTACTCACCCATCTCATGAGAATCGCTGGCGACAGTTACATACTCGCTCTCACTGAGCGCCCCCATGGCCGCCTCCTCCGAACTATCGTACGTTGACGAGTTTGAACACACGTTCAGCTCTGAAGAAAGAAACATTCAATTTAGTCGACTATTACAAGAATGTAAATACATTAATTTAATATGATCAGCGTTTCGCGTCAAGCTAAGTTGTTGAAATTAAATGTAAAAGCGATTTTAATAAAATTACTTACTCGTTCTTGATTAGTCTATCCTTTTCACTGTCGGACAAGAACAGTGGGCAAGAACAGTGGGCAATTACAGTGGGCAGTTGGCAAAAATTACAAAATACATACCGGAGAGTGATTGTTCTGCAGTGAGTGGTTCTGCAGTAGGCGGGCGGAGTCTCGCGGGCGGTCGTCGCCTGCGCTTGGCGCGGCGCGGGCCGCGGGGGACCGGGGGGGACGGACGCTTGCGGGGGACCTTCTTAGGGCGACAGTCGCGGGCTAGCTTGTCGTAGTTGTCCTGGGGAATAGGTATGGTAATATTAGCCATTGGTGACAAAGTTATTGTATATGATATTTAATTTCACAATGAGTTAAGACTGAATACACAAAAAGTCTGAAGAAACTTTCAGTTAGTTGAATTTCATAAAAACATTCCGTTTTTAGTCTGTTTGTTTTTGTAAATAGGCTATACATAAAAGCACTTTTACAAGTCAACGATTAAAAAAATATAGATGAGGCCGTTGTTGACCAGAACTTGATTAGACAAATAACAGAAATAAAACGACATTATATAACTTGAGGCCTGTCTCATCGAGTTACAGTTTACCTAATCAAACATTTACTTCTAAGGAGCATGTTTCTTAATAAATGATAGCAGCTAAGTGTACATACCCGTTTCCAAGCATGCTCAGCACACAGCGGCGTATGGTCAGACAGCGGCAAGAGAGGCTGGTTACAGCGCGCGCCGCCCGCGAAGACGGCGCCGCAGGCCGCGTACAGGCGCTGGTCGGGCGCGCGCGTCACGTGCGCCAGGCAGTACCGCGCGCACGGCAGCGCGCCCTGCTCGCACCGCTCCCACGCGCACCACGCGCTCGACGCACTGCCGCACTCGCGCAGCGACGGCTCGCCGCCGGACCAGCCCGATTGTCTGCAATATTAAGTAGTACCATAGTGAAAACATTGAATAACAAAACTCATAATGACATTGTTGTTAGGCGTTTCAGTCTGAACTAGTCTTGATTAGGTCGGTATACAGTAATTTAACTCGTCGAGTACCGGTTTTATAGACACAATGAAAGAACAATAGGTCGCAGTCACCGGTGACCGCTTGGTGTTTGACAGTTTAATTATATGATCCTTTATAATTATATGATTAAAAAATTGTGTAACTGATTTACACACAGCATACATACCGCATTTTATCCCCGAAGGGGTAGGCAGCGGTGCAAATTGTCCCACTGCACAATGTAACACCCACTTTTCACTATTTATGTTATGAGTCCCATGTAATAGGGGGTGGGCCTATTGCCATATACCGGACACAATTCCAGACTCCGTGCTACTAGTGAGAATTTTTTTAAAACCCAGTAATAACCCGTGTGCGCGTACAGCTCCTCATGGAGTTCCGCAAGGTAGTGTACTTGGACCGCTCCTATTTACTCTGTATATCAATGATTTCCCTAAAGCCATTAAACATCCGATGACTCTGTTTGCCGATGACAGTACGATTGCTATACCATGCCATGAAAAAACTAATTATGAAATGGACATAAAAAGTACTTTAATTGAAGCGGTAAAGTGGCTTGATAATAATAATTTAAAAATTAATATAAATAAAACTATGATTATGCATTTTAGTCATCGATTATCCTTATTTTCTAATCTTGACATCGAATATAATAATAATAGAATACAAATTGCTGAAACCACAAAATTTTTAGGACTGACAATCGACAAAAATTTAAATTGGAAAGCGCATGTTGAATCTCTAGCCAAACGAATAAGCAGTGCGGCATACGCGTTATATAAATTATCGCGTACTGTAAATATAGAAGCGTTATTGACGGCCTACTGTGGTTTGGTTGAATCGGTCATTAGATACGGTGTAATCTTTTGGGGTAACTCAACCGATAGGGATGTCATTTTTAAGAGACAAAAATACTGCTTGCGATCTATGTTTAATCTCAAATCTACTGACAGCTGTAAAAAACTATTATTAAAATCGTGTATTAACATTGCCTTCACTTATGATTAGAACAGTTCGTGAAGACAAATCCACATTTGTTTCCTCGTATGGCAGACAGATTTCCAAGGAATAGACGTGACGATAGCCAACTATGTTTACAACATCAAAAACTGCACTTATGCGCAAGAGTGTATTGCATGGCACCAATTATCTATAATAAATTACCCAAAAGTTGGAAAGAACTAACTATACCTAAACTAAAACAAACAATGAAATTGTCTTTGGCACAGAAAGCTTATTACAGTATAACGGAATTTTTAAGTGAGTCAGTGATTGTTATAAATAAATAACAATAAAAACTAACATTGCCCTAATTAAGGTTGTGTCAAAGTGGAGGACACAAAGAAACATATTGTTAATATTATTACAATTGAATGTTATTAAATAATAAGTAAAATATATAATTTGTATAATAATAATTAAATCATTTTTAGTGAATATTAATTGAATATGAACAAATTAATTAATAATGTATAATGATACTGCAGATATTTAATGTAGGTATAAGTGTAAATTTTAAAATTAATGTAATAAATCACAGTCATCAAAAAAATTTTATATAATAGATATTTGCACGCCATGATAAATGGCAGACATGTCGTAAGCCACTTTTCTCTAAGATCTTGCATGCTGTATTATTTTAATTCTGTATGCACACACATGTTTGAGCAAATAAAATTCTTATTCTTATTCTTAATACTTTGCCTGACCCAGGAATCGAACCCGAGACCCTTTGCCCGGCAGTCGCACTTGCGACCACTCGGCCAACGAGGCAGTCAATTACACACAACGTAAGAGAAAATCCCTCGTGAAAGGCTACTTTCTCTTTTCCATTCTGACCGTTTTGTTTCAGAGTTATTCTGCGCTAGATAGAGCATCATACACAAAATTGGGAAACGTCTTTGTTGTAGTCCCAACAATGCACCTAGAGTGACTTATGTAATCACAACATTTTCGAAATGCATACCTTAGTCTCCTCCGTTCTTGCGAGGTTAATACAGAAGGCATGCCGCGCAGTGCGAGCAGATGATTTACAGTCTGCGTTGGAAGACGACCTGATGATCCCGGCCTGTTCAGCTGTTTCTGTAAGCGTAGATACATTGTAAATATAAAAAAATATTTCGGGTAGGATGACGGGCAGGATTTAATACGAAGATCGACCTCAAATAACTTGTAATAAGTATTAAAATACAACGATAAATAGTTACACTACCTTGAGTAACGATGCAAGCGCACGATGATTCTTATGGTGCGCGGCGAGGGCTAGTGCGTCGTGTGCGCGCGCAACGTGGCGCCGTAACGCCGCGCGGCGCAGCGCTAGTCGGGCGCCGCGAGACTCAGCGGCACTCTCCTCCACGCATGCTGACACGCAACCTGCTTCTGCTGTTAGGAAAATATTACATAAATCAACTATAACTATGTTTAATTATAATAGCATTACTTGATTAGAAAGTCCTTAAAGGTGCTACGTTTTATAAAAGCAATTATTTCAGTATGGTTTTTTTCCAATTACCCCGGATTTCGAGACTTCGAGAGTTAAACTCTGCGATAACAGACGAACCGGACAATTTTTGTATGGGTACAGAGATCAAAAGGTTAGGTTAGGCGAACAAAGAGTCATACAAGATTAACCGAACCCATTGTGAAGAAGTACCTATTACCATAAATCTTTTGTGAAAAGTGTAATAGTACACATAAATCAATGACTCAGACTGCAAACACTAAAAATTTTGAATCACATCCACCACATGAACATTTTCACATTGAACCGACTCCTTGGGGAAATACCGATGTCGTTTTATCACACCATATCACTATCATGATTTTCATGACTAACCTGCGATGATCAGTCAAAAACCAAACGTATACAATTCAATGCTGAGTCACCAGACACACTAACAAAACGGTACAAACTAAGTCACGCTGATTTTATTTAAATATTTAAAATGTAGATATATTGGCAAACAAAGATGAAAATATACTTCATAAAAAAACTGTAACCTTTGCAACTAACATAATACAATATGTATAAGTATTTAAACTAACATGGTTGCCTACTGAATATTATTATGTTAAATAAAAATAAGAATGGCAAATATTAGCATCTTCTACAATTACTGTACAGTTGTCGTGGTGGCCCGGAGGTTAAGGCACCCGCTTCTCATGTGAGGGTGCGGGATCGAAACCTACCAACGGCAAGTATCAATGTGACTTTTTCCGAGTTATATGTATTTTCTAAGATTATTTAGATACCACTGACAAACGGCGAATGGAACATCCAGAGGAAACCTGGACTTTCTAATTATAAGTTTGAAATCACCAACCCGCAATTAGCAAGTGTGGTGATTAATGCTCAAACCTTCTCAGTGTAAGAAGAGGCTTTGCTCAGCAGTGGGCACTTATAAGCTGTTGATCATGATGAAAGTTTCTGTCCTGCCTACATAAGCATACTTACATAAATATAACGCCGCACATTTTAATCTTCGAAGGGGTAGGCAGTAAAACCACGTACTATTCACTAATTAAGTTCTATGTACTTAATAGAGGGAGATAATATTGAAATTCATATGTTTTTCTTTAAAAAAAATCGTTGCCCCACACTAGGATTTTCTCCTGTGTCATGGGTGCGTTTACAAACATACAATTTCACATGTATAGTATTATAAATATAAAAGTAACTCGTGTTGAATGAAGTGTTCATAAAACAGTGGAAAACTTGATACTAGATTCAAAGAAACACATTCATTTATTCCTTTATCAATGATCTGTCAACTCCAGGCATTTTTGCAAGAACAAAAATAGAGAAGATAGTGCACCGGAAAAAAACATTTACTAATAGATTGATGAATGTGGATGCGAAAAAAGTACTTATGACAGAGAATTAGATCATCTGGTAATTAGGTTTCGTGGTCTCTGTCTACCTGATTGGGATCTGTCAATCCAAGAACGATTTTGACTGCATTATTGGCCTGGTGAGAGGGAACTAGCTGCGTGTCGCAAGTTCGATCCTCGCACTGAATATTTTTTGTTTTCCACAAATACTTGTTTATGGTTTGCTCATAAATACACCCGACACAGTACATATCCTGGTATGAGACTACGTTTTTTTTACGAAATAAAAAAGGTTAGTCTTACCAAAATCTGGCATATTATCATCATCACTGCTGCTGCTCTCGATCTGTCGGAATGCGAGCGGTCTGTCTCCGAGGGGGCCGCAGTGGAAGAGTGTCTCGCCGGGCGCGTGCCACGTGTCGTTCGGCAGAGGGACGGCGCGCCTCGCCGCCGGTATCCGCTGCAACGCCTCGTGCACCGCCGGCCCTCGGCCGCGCCGCGGCTTCGCTTGAGAACCCTTACCTATTTACAGTTACCATTTCATTTACGATCGTGACAGTTTATATTATATTCTATCACTTTCTGTGTATAATTTATTTTAAATATTAAATAAAATAAACTTTGCTACCCTATTAAATCGTTAAAAAACAATAAAAAACTGCAATAAATAACATTTAAGGCTAAACAATCATAATAATGTTTGTTCAATAAACTATATTTTCTGATGTCACAAGAGGAAGGAAGAATAACTAGGTATAATTTAGGAAATTAATTGTACAATAACAAGGACTTTAATAATAATTAAAAAAAAAAACTTACCAGATGAAGATTTCTTCGGAGGAGACATTGGAACCTTAGCTGGTGGCTGTGCTAATGGCTCAGTTTTTATAAAAGCAGATGCATTTTCAACCAAACCTTGTTCTCTTTTGAATACATCTAAGAATGTCTCCATCCCACAAGTTAGCTTTGAAGAAGTCTTCGCATTATTTGTAGTACTAGCACTATTAATACTGGTTTTCGCACATAAGGAGGGGGCTGTGGCAGTGCTTTGCGCCTTAGGACTATGAACACTTAGTCTTCGAGGTTCACTAAACGATTCCAACCTAGGAGGCTCCTTCATCTGAGTCTGATTTTTAACTTTCAAAACTTTGGTATGAGTAGTCTTACTGTCTTTATAGTTTGCAATCGGCTTGGCCACTGGTGGATAATGCCCATTAGATACCACCTCTTTCTTGATATCCTCCTTAATATCGCCATTTGTGAATGCACCTATGAGATCGAGCTCTTTACTTGGACTGTCTGCTAACAGCTTACTCTTAATATCAACACTATCGGAGAACATAAAATTGTCTTCTGTGTGGCTGACAGTAATTTCTCCAGCTATTACATCAGAATCATGGAAGGTGTATAATTCGTTGGGATCAATTTTAAACTTGGGGTAGAAATTGTCATTGAGATGAATGTACGGTTGTTCATCTCCAGAGTTGTCATGTAGGAACATATTCACTTCACCACAGCTCCCCGAGGAGGCACCCTCGACTGCCATCTTATACTGAGAAGCACAACTTGCCTCTGATATATTTTGTGGAATACCACTGAAGCTGGAAAGCACAAAACAACATCATTTATACCTCATTCAAACTGGTTTTTCCCATTAATAAACAACAAAGAATTTACAGTTACTTTTGACCAAAGACCATTATATTACCTAATCACCATTATATAGACTTTTCCATTGTCATTTGTCAGCAAACAGTTAAGATATATTCTTGGTATTAAATATTAAATGTAGCGGTAGAAAGTTTAGCTTTATAAACATAGTAATTATCATTATTATAAACAAATATGGATTGATAAAAAACATTGCAATTATCTAGCTTCGATTATAAATAAACTAGGATTAACTCCAGTTATATTCATGTTTTCTCCCATTTACAGTACCTACTTCATGATTAGCCAATGACACCAGTGAACATTATTCCTTACTTGCAGTCTGGGATTCCTATAATTGCTATGCTCGGCAGACTATTGCGGATCATTTTCAGAACTAAATGATATTTAGACTACCAAGCAGCTAAACAAAAACAAAGTAAAACAATTCAGAAGTCTAAGTAGCGCCTTAACATAAACAGCGACTTAAAATGTCATACAATTTAGTATGCACAAAGAATAAACTACAGACAACAGCAAACATATTGTATATGTAATGATAATATACAATTTCTGTTTCAATTATGTAATAAGAAAAGTATGCAGTTTGAATGATACATTACTCAATACATTCAAGATATCTGACACTGCGAATGCTACATTGAGGTGTAATAGTAGCGGCACAAGCTCATAGCAACATTGTCACAGAGTCCAACAAAACGGACATACTTTAGGGAATACACTGAATACACAGCAAACATAATAACAGTATAATACTCACCCCACATTTTCTGACGCACTCAAATAAGACATACTGTGTTCATTTTACAACTTAATGATATCAACAACTTTATTGCTATTATACGTGCAAAAGTAAGTTTGGTCCCTTTGCTTCATACTGAAATGTAAGAAAAGGTCGTATTACACATTACAAATCCACATACGCAGTAAATTCAATGTTATTCATATCAAAAACACAAATAGTTACTATCTTTATTATTGTAAAGATTCTTTGAATTGACATCAGTATGACATATGTCATGAACATAATTAACCAATTTTTTATGTATTTTCCTTGTTTCTAGTCACTAATCGCTGTATAATTAATGATGTGAAAGTATTTTATTATTTTCAACCAAAACGAATAAGTAATTATTGTTGTTTTACGAAGATTATCAAAAACAAATCTCACACTATAGCTTGCTAAATAACCGGCTCATCATTTTCCTCAAATTATAACAAACAGAATCAATGCAAAATCATTCACTTCTATAACTTATTTGTTGGCAAAATAATTATTGTGGCTTTTAAAATAAATAAAACTGAAATCTTTATTCAATAACATCAAGAATGACTGACAGAACACAGCAAATGGCAGCCAAAATCCACAGATATAATAAAAATAGAGGTGCGTTTGGTATTTAGTCGATTAGTAAAACTAAACACTCAACATTTAAATAAAAGAAAATATTATGTTGACGTTCTTATGCTGTGCTATCTTTGTAAACATGATTAGTCTTGTTTTACCTAATTTGAATGCATTCTTTAAATGTCCTTGATTCTAAACTACAAAATAGTAAAAAAGTACATGTTTAAAGAAAGTGTAATGAGAATAATTGGAAAAATAATAATTATTGTACAATTATCGTATTTTTCCAATAAAAGTTGAGTAAGAACTCGGTATTTATCCACTTTTTGGATAAACATTCGAAGAAAAAAGATAAATAATCACTATTTACTCGGTATTTATCCATTTTGAATATTTCCATACACGTTAGATATCATATGACTGTATTTATTTGAATCTTTGCAAGCATAATCTTACACTCACATGACAGCATATCAACCAAATTATATTGCATTTATAACTTTATAGTTTCCTAAATACAGACTTTTATGGGTTTATATGCACAGTTTTACATACAAGTTAAAAACCGTCATACAATATCTAACATGAATGCACAGCTTAACATTTATGTAAATTCCACATCCCAACAATGTTTTGAAAAGTTTTACAGAAGAAGTCATATTTTTATGCATGTAATAACAGATAATATTAGTTTCAAAGAATATTTTTTATTGAAAAGTTGTTAAAAACTAAAGTATGGTTTATATAAAATAGAAAAATGTTTCGTTATATAAGCTTAATACGTTTTTAGAAGAATTTTCATGAAATTGTCGAAAAGTTTAAAATGACCTAAACTTTTACAGTGATTTATTGCATTGGCCACCCTGTTTCAATATTGCTAAAATTACCTTTATAAAGTTTCAATGTTTTCATTTACATGTTTCTAACAAAATAAAGTTCATAAACAAGAAAAAGGTGAAAGTATTGTAAGAACAATTCACATATAAGAAATACTAATTCATACAAAATAATCGATATCATTTCCTTCTAGAAAATCTATAATAATGTAAATTTTTAACGATTTGAATGACGCGCCTTTTGTATTTCGATTTGAGAACCCCGTTTTTGAAGCGTTGTTGTGAATCCAATATGGCGATATTTGATGTTGTACTATTTTGAAGGTACGTCAAATTGACGATTCTATAATGATAATTCCGGTAAATATATTATTGTTAAACAGTTTTCGATACGTAATGAAAATTTTTAGTAGTCAATGATTAAATAATTGTGTTTTAACAGTGTAAGAGAAAGCTTACAGTTTGTATTGTTTTGTTTGTGATTTCCGATATTTTAATGATTATTCCATTGTTTTACAAAAAAATTAAAAGCGTTTTCATGTGGATGCCGTAACTATGTATCGAATCAGTTTATAAAAACACTGTTTAAGTGTATGCTCAACGTAGTTAGGTGTGTTTCACATAAATTGGAGAACAAGATGGAATGTAATTACGGTAATTACAATCGCGAACATTACGTACTGATTTCTTTACGAATTTTGTTATTTTTGTTACAGAAGTGCACATGTTTTTATACAAATGGGAGTTAAGTAACTTAATGTTGAGGTGCATTAGATTAGCGCCATAATAATTGATTCATTACTTGAGTACATAGTGTTTAGAGCGCTGACTATCATGACAGACACGAGACGAAGAGTTAAGCTTTATGCTCTGAACGCAGACCGACAGTGGGATGACAGAGGTACAGGGCATGTGTCGTCATGTTACGTGGAGAGGTTGAAAGGCACCTCGTTACTCGTACGTGCAGAGTCAGATGGTTCCCTTCTTCTAGAGAGTAAGATACAACCCGACACAGCCTATCAGAAGCAACAGGACACGTTGATAGTCTGGTCGGAAGGTGACAACTTTGACTTAGCGTTAAGTTTCCAAGAAAAAGCCGGTTGCGACGAAATATGGGAGAAGATTTGTCAGGTAAATATAAATATGCAATGTTTATTATCAGTTTCACTTCATACCAATAAAGATAACTGAATAATCAAATTTAACTTTAAATTCTTATTGGAATCTTCACCTGAAGTTTATAGTGGTAACTTTGAATTACATTGTAAATAAAATAGTAAAGATTGATCTTGTGACAATGTAACAGTAACTGAATAGAATTATCTTATATCTGTATGTTGACATTGACATTGATGTGTGATGTGTGATTGTGTTGTGTGATATAAGTGCATGTGTGACATATATAACTTACTTTCAGGTACAAGGAAAAGATCCTTCAGTTGAAATAACACAAGATATAGTGGAAGAATCAGAAGATGAGCGGTTTGATGAGATGTCAGACAGTGTACAGCCAGTGGAGCTGCCTGCATGTGAGATGGGTCGCCTGGAGGACATCAGTGAACTTGTCAACAGTTGTCTGGTGTCACCAGCTCGCAAGGACAAGCTGGCAGCTGCACTAGAGACACAGCATTACATAAAGAAACTACTTAACCTGTTTCACATGTGCGAAGACATTGAAAACATAGAAGGGTTGCATCATCTTTACGAAATATTTAAAAGTATATTTCTTTTAAACAAAAACACACTCTTTGATACCATGTTTGCTGATGATACTATATTTGATGTTGTGGGCTGCCTAGAATATGATCCAAGTCTGCCTCAACCTAAAAAGCATAGAGAATATTTACGGGAGCTAGCAAAGTTCCGGGAAGCCATTCCTATAAAGAACAAAGATTTGCTAGCGAAAATACATCAGACATATAGAGTACAGTACATTCAAGATATTGTTTTACCTACTCCTACAGTTTTTGAGGACAATCTGCTAAGCACATTGTCCAGTTTTATATTTTTCAACAAGGTAGAAATAGTGAAACTTATAGAGGAAGATGAGAAGTTTTTGACAGATTTGTTTAAACTACTTATGGATGATAAGACACCGGATCCTAAGAGACGGGACTTAGTTCTGTTTTTAAAGGAATTTTGTAATTTTTCACAAAACTTGCAACCTCAAGATAAGGATGCGTTTTATAAAACTTTAGTATCTCTAGGGATCCTGCCAGCATTAGAAATCACTCTAAGTATAGATGATCAGAAGACTAAGACTGCATCTATAGACATTTTAACTTACATTGTAGAGTTTTCACCTTCTGTAGTGAGGGACCACACACTACAGCAGGCCAACAATACTGAAGAGGTATGTATATCAATAGTTTTACTGTTTATTGCCTGTGTTGTGTCTATAATATTATTTAACTTTATTTTTTGTTCTAGGAACAAATGTTACTAAATATAGTGATAGAGCAGATGTTAAGGGACAGAGACCCTGAGCTGGGTGGCGCAGTGCAGCTTATGGGTGTCCTTCGCATACTCTTGGACCCTGAGAGTATGCTAGCATCAGTGAATAAGAGTGAAAAGGCAGATTTCTTAAATTTCTTCTACAAACACAGTATACAAACATTAATAGGTAAAGTACCATTTCTATGACTCATTTTTGTACAAATTGTAACTTGAACAGCTTCCGAGAATAGTGTACAATGTATACCTATAATTGTGCTAAATTGTTGCTTAGAAAATGAATTTATAATACTAGAACAAGGAGCACTATTAACAATTCTAATAATGATTATAGAGAAAAATATGAACTAGTTTTATAAAATACACTTTGAAAACATGTCAATGGGAACAAGTTGTGAATGTAAGTAGGTTTGATAATTTGTTGTTATAACATTCAAAGTAATCTCCATATTCACCATGCTAATAGACTAATGTCAACAAGTTGCTTGGCGGCCTACTGATTATTAAAAATGTATTTTATTTAAATTGCATTAAATATTTATATAATATAGCAACAAAAAGGTTACATAATTTAGCCTAAATTGCAAATTGTACACAGTTTACGAATATCTAATTGGGATGATGACAGGGTATGAAAATTAAAAATCTAATTAGTCCGTCAGTTAGGTAATGAAAAAATATTAGACACGTATTTTTTTATTTTGTCGTATAATAAAACAATACTTAGATTAAACAAATCAAAATTTAAGAGTGGGGTCTAAAACGTCATTTCTACAAATGTACATAGAAGTGACGCCACGGGACATTTCAAATCAATATATCGTCGAAAGTATTCATTTCACTAAGAAAATAAAAAATACGTGTCTAATGATTTAAAATAATCTACCATTAAAATATAAATTAGGCATCTACCCTATTAATACAGTTAGAGAAACATTTTGAACTATTAGCTTTTACAATTCAAATGTTGTCAATAGAATATCATTTTCTAGTAATTGGAAAGTTGTTATTACTTTCGCAAATATAAAATTTATTAAAACAATATTATCTGAAAGTAATAGTGACAAATATAGTGACTCAGCAATGTTAGAAGTTGCAAGTTTTTATTTATTTATAATGTGTATAACGATTTCAGCTCCTCTCCTAGAGAACACGACAGGAGAGAAACCTCTAAAGGAAGACTATCACACTGTGCAGCTACTGGGCCTTGTACTTGAACTACTGGCCTTCTGTGTTGAGCATCACACTTACCATATAAAGACCTGTATATTGAATAAGGTAAGAACTTTCAATTACTCTCTCATCATCAGCCTTTTTCTATCTACTGCTGGCCAAAGGCTTCTCTAATAGCCAGGGCTGAGCTTGATCTTCAGCTCAGCCAATTTTTTTCACAATGCTATATACTTAGTACAAATAGATATATATTACCATTACTTGACTTCAGGGTATGTTTTTAGCAAAATTTTAAGTTTAAAACCCTTATAGAATTTGCTGTGGACTAATCAATCTGCCTGTCTTTTACTTGTCTTATATTATTCTAGATACAATAAAAATAAAGAATATGTATTAAAGTTGTGTCTCACTTATATCTACTATCCATTCAGCCAGAGGTCACAACTGAAGTATCTAATTCACTAAAATTGCTACATAATGTGCAAATTTTCCTTAGTTTTCACATTTTAATCAGTAATGTAATGACTAAGTTTCCATTTCACTATCACAAACATTTATTAATCATTGAATTATCTAAGTTAATGTAAACAAAAAGTGTCTTACAGCATTCTAATAATGATAATATGGTACACTTGTAGTACACATGTTTTCTTTGACATGAACAAGGCTATCTCTTTATCAATATATCAGCTATCAAACATGCAAATAAATACTCATTTTATACTAGGTTTTGAGTCTAGTTTACTTCCTTAATTCTTCACAATAAAAAATATTGCAAATAAATTAAGTAAACACATTAAAATGTAAATAAAACACATTTTACATCAGATGTTACTTATGAAAACGTAAAAATGAATAATGATTAATTGTATTGAACAAATTATTACAGTAACCAAGAAGTAAATAAATATCAAACAAGTTTTGCACCTTGCCCACTTGAGTTTGCATTTGGGGTTTTCCCCCAACTGTTTATAGAATGTAGTGCCTATGTTTACCATGAACATGAACATATTTTTCACAGATCACAGTTACATAATGTGTAAATAAACAGAACAACCTGTATATAGCAAAGTATTTTATTCTCACAATGATTTATGTGGCAAGGTCATCTTATATAATGGAAATCCTTTCTTTATGATTTCCTTTAATACTTTTTTTCTTTTTCTACATCATTGATAGCATAAAGTGATTGTTTGTCGGCAATATTTCGTTTATAGTGCCATTGTAATGTCAATGTCATACATTTCCCACATTTTAAATTGTTACGGCCTCCATGCATTTCATGTTATCATGCAGTTTAAGCAGTGCATAGTTTGTGAATGATTGTATCTAAGATTTGAATAACTTCATGTGATGACGTTGACGTATTGTTAATTAGAAATGTAAAACTTAGTTCCTTTGTAGTGCTAGAATTACGTCACTACACAGTACAAAGTTCGACGACACATTCTCCTGACGTCACCACTTGTCATCAGTAGTGTTTATGTAATTTTTTTACCGACTAGCCAATAAGGAGGAGGTTATCAATTCGGCTGTATGTCGGTTTTTTTCATGTGACGAATATAAGTAATCTTTTGGCAATAAGCAACATAAAGATGAATACTTACATAAAATAAATACATACTTACTTAAAATTGAAAGAAGTTTGTATTACATATTTTCTGTTATATTTTTCACACTTTTTAGATACTAAACAACAATCTTTAAATCGCCAAGTTGTTCGGTGCTTCATAACGGTTACATATAAATAATGTATTGTATGCCTATGTGGGAAATGTAATAAAACTATGACTCAGCATCCACCACTAACATTATAAGTTAAAGGTTTTTACCATAGCATTTACTGTTCATTTGCAAAAAGGAGTATAAGTATTCTTAATATTTTTGCGTAATTCCAGGATCTCCTTCGTCGTATACTGGTGCTGATGAGGTCAACGCATACTTTCCTGGTGCTCGGCGCACTCAGGTTTATGAGAAAGATCATTGCACTCAAGGATGAATATTACAACAGATATATTATTAAGGGGAACCTATTTGCACCAGTTATAGATACTTTTCTTAGAAATAATGGCAGGTATGTATATAAAAAATTGGGTGACTGCCCAGTTTACTTTTTCTATATTTTCGTATGTTTATATCTAGAAATTACAGTTAAAATGATTAATGAAGTACGCCTAGATTTATTGAATGTGAAATATTTTTATTATGAACCTATCTTTTTATCTGTAATATGTGCTATATTTATAATTTTGCCTCGTCACATATGACGTCACGCGTTGCACAAGCGCGTAATGTTGGACTGTCGTAATAGTAGTAAACTTTTCATAGGCACCACTCGTGAGGGCTTTCTTAAATATACATGTTCTGGTTTATTTAGCCTAATGTATATTCCTCACTTTTTTACAGGTACAACTTACTAGACTCTGCGATACTAGAATTATTCGAGTTCATCAAGTTGGAAGACATCAAGTCGCTATGTGCACATGTCGTTGAAAACTACGGAAAGATCTTAGAAGACGTTGAATATGTACAGACATTCAAAGCTTTAAAAACGCGGTACGACCAACATCAGGACAAACTGAAAGAGAGGGATCGAGGTGAGACAACATGTAATTACACCTTTCAATATTTATTAGATTGTAAGATATTGTATACAATTATTGCTAACTAGAATAAAAAGTCAATTATGAATTGTTTGGAGGCTGCACTATTGATAGGCGTGCTGGCCTATCGACCGTTTGTGAATGGAAACTTTTGCGTGCAATGAATGCAATGTAGTCGTGTACGACGGGATCAAAAAACATTATTGTTGATTTGTACATATAAAATCTGGTTTTATAGTTATAAAACCAGATTTATATATAAGGAATAGTTTTCCTTCAGGCATTTCTATTTTAATTTTGTGCCGTTTACCACCTTATTGGATGGCAAATCATTTATTTTTACATTATTTTACTTACATAATTAAATAGTGCTTACTAGACGTGTATAATGAGTGAGGGTGTTGTTATCCAGTGAGTGGTACTGTGAGCGTGGCGGAGGCGGTGGTGCCGTCCCTGTTGCGTACCCGGTACAGACGCGAGGCGCGCGCGCCCGACGACGAGGAGGAAATGTGGTTCAACGACGACGACGAACTCGAGGACGACGCGCCTCTCGACGCACAGCAGACGCACGCGCATCCACACGCGCATCACGCGCTCGATGCTATCGGTACTATTTGTTCCTTATCTTTGTGACCTTGACCCTTACTATGAGTTGACCTTGATATGAAATGAAAACATTTTCGTCTACAACAATATTTTTTAATTCCGTTTCCAGGAAAAATAGTGGAAAAGAAGGTATGCTCGAATACGGAAGCTGTCAACGGTCCTAGCAGAGTACTCCTAAGCACTACGTCACCCAGCAAGCCGGCGCACACTGACGTTCAGGTATCCTCGCCCAGATTACTCAATAAGGTAAACTTTTAGTTCCCTCACGCTCTCTACTCTCGCTTCGCTGGGAAATCATGATGTGTCAGTTATCTCAAAACAGAGGCAAAGGTCTTGCATGGTGTTGGTCAGACTTGCATTTCTATTATAAATATACTGCTCATACAAAATGTGTCATAACACCCATTAATCATTTTATGATTAGAACAAATGGATTAGGCAGCTTATCATTTTATATTTCCTGTGCTAGGAATTTATTTATAATAACTCTTTGCCGATCTTGTGACTTATCCTGTGAATGTGTGATTTTTGGAGAGAATGATGGCTAGACTGTAAAAAAATAAATAGCAGAGACGAAAAATATTAACCTACCTGTATAAAATTCAACCAGTGTCTAAATTAGATGCACGAAATCGGAAATGATTTTAACATTCTACTTGGTACATTGGTCAGTGTGACCTTAATATTACAGGTTAACGTTTTGTGTTGTAGGGCAAGTTTCGACTTGTTTGACTTGTCAACAGTCCACACTGCATGTGTTTTTGTTTTATTTACGGTTTCTGTTGGAATTCAATGTTTGCCGATTAGTTTTATTTAGAAAGAAAATACGAGATATTTAATAGAGTTGTAATTACACAGTAAATAATGAAATGTTTTTGTTAGTGCTTAGAGTATTCAATAATGCACTGGGTATCAATAATATAATAAGCGGTGCATTTATTCATTAGTTGTATGTGTGTGTTTAGTGTGGGTCATTTTTGTTTTCCAAATCCTTTGTTTCTTTTAGTTGCAGAGATAATTCACGTACTTCATTTTCCCTAAAATTATTTAATCAATTTATTTTTATTTTATACAGTCATGTAATAATGTTTAAAAGGTTAAGGGGACTGCAAAGTTTCGTGTTAAAATACTTATAGTTAAAGTGAATAATATTATGTGTTAATAGGTCATAATGTTCATCTTATGAATTTGCTTTAATTTAGTGTATTGCTGAATACGCAATCATTTAGATTTGAATTCAACCCCTCAAAATTCATTATAACTTGCTTTGGCAAACTCCTGAGCTTGTTTAGTGTTATGCAGATGAGATTGTTTCAGTATAAGAGTGTGACTGTGCAGGGCTTGGTGGACTACGACGGCGACTCGGACGAGGAGGAGGAGGGCGGCGGCGCGGGCGGCGGCGCCAGCGAGGAGCGCGACGCCAAGCGGCCGCGTCTGGCGTAGTGCGCGCCCGGCCTGCGGCGGCTGCACGCGGTACCACACGACATAGTAAGGTCCTCCTCACTGCGCTGCGTACTCGAGCTGTCCGCGGTCACTGGCTGGCGCAGTGCTAGCGGCGGGCGCGAGCGACCGACTCGGGCTCGGGATGCGTTATTGTGATTGTAGCGTAAGGTTTCACCGTCACTGCCATCCTACACTTCCACCTCCCCGTATCCCCGACACCTCGCCCTGTCGCGACGTCCAGCCGATTGCATTTACATTCGACACGATCGGTCGTATACATGCTCTCGTTAGTGAACCGCTAGACAGTTCTGTACTTCCAGCTGCTGGGTTATGTCCATTATTTGTAAATATGAAGTGCTGACACTTGAGTGTTCGACTTTAGTTAGTTAGTGTATGAAGTTCTTCATACTTCGTAGTGTAATAATATACTTCAGATGGCATCAGAAAGTAGAACAAATATTGGTTACAAGGTGTATTTAATGTGAACTAATTTTAACGATTAGGTTACTTTTGTCAAGGATTGTAATCACAAAAAGTACAAAGAAAATATGAGTGGGAATTAAACGTCTAATAATAAATAATAATAGAAAAAGAATAAACACCCTGAACGCGGTATGAAAATGTAAAAATGTACGTATTTATAAAAATCTTAGTTTACGAAGGATCACACGACCAATCTTTTTTTAGAGACATTTAAAATCATAATCTGTGCTGTGGAATTGTTACTCAGTAGTGCGCTATTGTATCATAACGGATCGGATCTAATAATCTGTTGCCAGGACGTCGTCATACTCTGTCTGCCACCACCCAGACAAGTCAGCCGTGAACATAATATTTGTAACATCAGATATATACGATTATTCTCAATATTTTGCATTCCTTCTGTTGAGCTTCGTGGAGAGATTACAGTTTGTACTTTTCCGTTTATTATTTTTGCAGTAATCATTACACGGGCGTTGTTTTAAGCATGTAGTATATTTGCGATAGAGATCATATTTGATTTTATTACAAATCTCCTAAGGCTCCGACTTTGTTGAGAGTAGAGAATAGTTTATGGTTTATTGTTTAACGCAATGTTTATGAATTATACTAACATTGTAACTACTGTTAAGTAGCACTTCCTATTTATATAATGTTCTATGTGCCGCTTAACGTAGCACTCATGGCACTCTCGAAGTAGTTAAAATGTTATTAATTATCAAAGGTGAGATATTTTATTTGAACTGAATACCCAAAGTGTGACTAGATTGTTTTTATGTTCCATAATTAAAATTAGCCAAAATTAGACTAAATTGAAACTATTATTATAAGAATTGGAAATGAGGTACATGTTGACTGCCTGGTTATTTGTTATCAATATTTAAATCAAAATAAATTATTTGTATGCAAATTAGTTAGCTATTTTCGAGGCGTAAACAAGTTCCATGGACATACGACCTTGTTGCCTAAGTTGTGTGTTATCTATGTGTGGTCCACTGAAATTAAACAGCAATACTCAACAGGAATGTACGTGGAAAGAAGTATATTTTTGAGGTGGGGTAACATAGCACTTTTTACCAAAATGTCGTATGGACCAGAAGTAAAATTGACTTAGTATTGTACTAAATTGCTGGGTCACGTAAATTTTTGCCGTAGCTAAATTTAAATAAATTATCTTGAATTCTAAATCATAATTAGGTGATTTAAAAGCCTTGGTAATTGTCTAATCGGTGTTGGTTTTATTCCTGTCTGACAAATTATACCAGTTACATTGATCAGTGAACATTTCGGCAATGAACCTAGTAGTGAATTAGAGATATGGCAGTCAACATATTTACATGTTTATCTGGATCCTGAAACTGTAAGGCACTGTGTAGATATGGTTGAAATAAAGGCTGAAATGCTGTTCAGACAGCCGTAAACACGGTTTGTCAGTAAGTATACGATTTTAGTAAATTTAAACAACACGCGAGTAACTTAACCTTTCTTCTACACAGTCCCTTTCTAATTAATACAACGTTGCGCGCTGGCAGCTAAGGAAATAATTAATTTTAAATTTTTTCACAGTGATTTTGCCTGCTTTTTGCTTCTGACTTCTTACTTTGAAATAAACTCAAACAATAAAATTGTTCAAATAGTATAATTACATTATTTTATTTATTTGGGATCCAGATTTTCGTGTCGTTTTGATTTGGTATGCAAACTTTTATAATTAACGCGTTGGTTGCAGTGGGTTGTGTATTTATTTGTAATGTTTCTGGACGTAGAATTTTCGGTCTAGTAATGCTAAATGAATACACTGACGATGTGCAACCGTTCGTGTGTCACGAACGATACCTCCCGCAACTAACGTGTTAAACCTATAACAATATGTGTAGAACATCAATTGTTTACGACAGTTAACTTCCTATGTTATAGTTATATAGTTTTCTATAAATCTCTGAGTCTGGGCCACCCGGTGTCGGATTCATTTCATCGCGACGAATAAATGCACGAAAAATATAATGTAATGTTTTTATTTATTAATGTATTGGATTTTCAAAAATACTTATTATTTTCTGACACTTTGTCGTAGTATAAGGTTATAATATAATTGTTAGTGTAATGCCATGAAATGGATCCTACCGACCGCCCACTGTCTGTATAATGCCCACAATGAAAATGAATTATAAAATCAGTATTAAATCTTTCTTTACTTTCAACAAAATGTTTCCTATCTTCGCTTATATACGATTGTTTGTAGCTTTTTTACACTGCGGAAGTAATGTGTATGTGATAAAATTATCTGATTAAGATCCATTTTATTTTATTACTATAAACCTCTAGTTTTATCATTCGTATTATGTAAATAATATTAGATTTTGTAAAATACACTTAAATCTGGTGATTATAAACATCTATCTTATAATAAATTAAATATTTTGCATAATCAGATGTCGCCAGAAACGATTTAGATGGAGTGGTCCAAACATAATTTAAAAGAAACAATAACCAGTACTGATCTCAGTTGTAGTCTCGTCTCCCGTCTCCCGGCTTCCAGTAACCTCGTACATAATGTAGCAGTGCTCAAATTTTATATCTGGTCAAGGGTTTTATTTCATTACGCATTAGTGTCATTTTGCATTTACAGAATGCTCTTCCATATGTATCAAAAATATTCTAACTATAGATACTTTCTTAAGATCTAGTTTTTGTAGTTGCAAGTTTAACTTAAGATATTTCAGAAATGTTAAGATTTCTGATTTAGTGTGACACAAGATGCGATGGAGCCATATTATCAAAACATATTGAATATTATTTTAAAAGCATAGCTTGATAATACATTTAATATTTTTTTAGTTAAATTGAATGCTCGTGGAGTGTATTTTAATATAAAATGTATGCAACAGTTGTCATAGACATTGTTCATAATATAATTTATATAACTAGCTGTATTGTCTCTCGATTATAAAGTACTGGCGGCATGATTATGTGACTAATGTTGCAAAGGACGGTAGGGTGTGTATCCCAGTGCGAGGTATAGCTCGCGGCCGGTCTCTGGCCCGCTCCACCTCCACCGTACCGCAGCCACTTTGCGCTTACCTTACAGCTCAGTGTCTACGGTACAATAACGACGGTTAATTGAACTGAGCACAAAATAAAACTACAATTTCTATTTCTCGTAAATTATTTTTTGGCTATGGTTTCCCAAGTTTCCTCTTATTAATTTTAATTGCCTACCTTGTATAACATCTCTTAATACATATCAATTTTAATATGTATCTGAAAAAGAAATTATTGATCTCTGCCATAAGATTTTCACATCTTATCAAGAAATCCGCAACCGCCACTATTGTAACTATATGATGGTCACACTTGTATCAGTGCAAAAATATTCCCGCTTTTATAGACGAATGCACAGTGAACGCGAGGCGAATTCAATTATTACATACGTGGAATGAACTTGTCAGAATATATTGTAAATACAACGTTTTATGTAATAATTTTATTTTAAAATCTGCCAACATCCACGTGTATAATAGGCTAAAAGCATCGAGCTGTCAATTAGATTTATACGATTCTTATATTCCTTGAAATAACTTCCCCGTTAATTAAATACGAAGTTCTAGGTGAAAGTAGACTGTAATAATGACTATTTTTTATCTGTCTAGGTGGATGACCATCATAAATTAATTTATACACAGATTAAAATAGATTTACCTATCGGCAAGTTGTGTAAAATAAATAAGCTTACGATAATGCTATTATTATGATGTCACTAGTTAAGTAAGCAATATAAATATAAGGTAATAATTACGATTCATGTTGTTTCTTTCATACTTCCATAATTTATTAAGAAAACATCAATAAAAATTCAATTCGGGACAAAATATTTTTTAATTTTAATTCATGAATAAATATAAGCTTAGAGATTTTTGAACAAATTGAGGACTATGGTGAAATAAAATTAATTAGAAATATCGACCACTTCTGTCTTTAACTTAGAGGCGAGTGCCCTTCGCAGCTGCATGGCGTCTGGAGGCGGCGGTGGAGCTACACCTGCTAGTGCTGCTTGAGCCACGCGAGCCGACCGAGGTCTAGCAACGCTGCTATGAGATCCTTCACCACCTATTAGTCCAATAAAATTATAAGGAAGTAATTCAATGACTGACAATGAACTGTTATTTCAAAATCGATAATGGCTAGTAAGTACCTACCTCCTGTTTCTGCGCCATCTGCTGCCCCGAGTCGTCGCTCACGGACTTGCTTTTTTAATGCCAATAATTTATCGCGCTGTTGTTTCAAATATTCTTGACGAGCTCTCATCTCTTCCTCGCTCACCTGGCAACCGGATAAAGTGGTAAGTTAATATCATGAGCAACTTATCTGTTCTATGCCTTGTTAGTAGGATAAACACGTAATTGTTACTCCGAGTTACTCACCTCTACTTTTTTGGGAGGTGATTTCGGTGGTTCCATAACCTGAATCTTTTTTTCTGGGACCACTATATGAACTTTTTTCTCAACATTTTCTTCCTTTTTTTCGAAGCTGTGGAGTTTAGATAACAGAGTTTGCTTCTCAGCTACCACTTCCTCGGGCGGGACGCTGACGACCTCGTCTTTACTTTCTAAATCTTCCAATTGTAGTCTGAAAAATCAAGATTTAAATTGTAAGAATCCCTATTCTTATAGCCTTGGATATTTCTCACGTGGAGTAGGCAGTTCATGAACTTACTTTTTTATTTCAGTCATGACATCATCATTATCCGGCCAGTCCTCACTTTCATCACTTCTTGATGAGTCTAACAATGAGTCATCTGGTTCGACAGAAAACAAATGGGGCATAGCTCCATATCTCCTTTCTATTAATTCTAGAGCCTGAAAAGATAAAATGGAGGTGGCTTATAGTCCTAAGTTTTATTTATTTTCATTCACTAAAGTTCGTATAACTTTAAAACTTGCCTGTAGCTGCAATTCCACGTTCTTGTGAGTCATCATCTTGACGAACATTTCGTAGTCGTTGGCGGCCCATATTTGTTCAAACAGGCGGCGATGGAAATGTGCCGGTAGCCCGGCTAGGTCTCGCGCTGACAGCTTGCACGCCGCTTCGAATTGATCTGCTGTGATGCCGATATCATCCATGAACGAGCCTAACATCACGTCCACCTGGGCTCATAAAAAAATTTATAAGAATTTGGCTAACAGTTTCGATGGCACCTAGTTGAAGGATGCTCAAAATAGTGTAAAAAGGGACTTTGTTGTGTTATTATCTTGTAATTACCAAATTTATTTAAAAGTTAAAATCTGGGCATTATTATCGTCTTTAATTAAACCTACTACTAATAATTTAGGTTGATAAGCAATGCATACGTGGGTCAATTTTTTTAGGTGTCTACTGTAAAATGCTAAGTAGGTAGGTCAATAACTAGTATACTTACCAAATTACGGTACTCAGTATGTATCTTCTTATACTCTGGTCTATCGAGGACTTCGCCATTGTCAGTCGGCTCAAAAGCTGAAAGAACATCGAGATCAGTTTACTGATAAAGAACAGACCTATGTATAATCAGCTAAGTTGATGAAGGTATCTATCTATAGGTAGGTGCTATAGCATACATACTTGGTATGTAATATTTATGTAGGTTTGCGTATTCCGAAGGTCTAAGTTACTAATGCCAGTATAAACGCAAAGTTGCTAAGAAACCAACATCGACATACTTACGTAAAGACTTTTCTTCAATAAAAGTCTGCAGAGGTACATTCCACACGGGACCGTGTAGAAATCCTACAAGGGAATCAAACACCCATGCGTTACCGTCTGAATTTTCCATTTGTGCTTATAGTTTGTATCTCTAATAAAGTAATAAGTTCTCTACTAATTTAATGGAAATGTATTTAATTAAATAAAATCAACTCCTATTCAACACTTATGACGTTTATTTGTACTAGCTGTTGTTATGGTTACAGAAAGTATTCTTTTCTGTAGTTCTGGCTGCCTGTTGTTAGTAACAAAACAATACATGAACATGAGTTGTTCAAGGTCTCATGGTCAGCAATAGTGTATCAAGTAGTACCAACTAATGATTTGTCAAGGACATTGAAAAAAAAGATAGTTTAATGTCCATTAGATTCATAATTTCTAAGCTTGTTTGAAGCTGTTTGTTCGACATTTGCAATGTTTGTTCTGTTTGTCAATATGCTTGTTCTTAATTATTTCGTCATTTAACATAGGAAATCTGCTACGTTTAATAGACGTTTTATGACGATAGGGGGGTAATGTCTAAGAAAACTATTAACTTGTTCCAGACTGGTGCTATGCAGAGTACTGAGTAGGGACAACATTTATTTCTTGCAAAACATTTAAGAAGGCCAAGAGCTTTAATACATAATACAAATTGATCGTGTTTTGAGATGAAATCACATTCATTTTAAGTTGAATATAATTATTATCGAACGCATCCAAATATCAGCTGACAACACAAAATGTCAGTCTGCTGTCTACGTGAGAAAAATTTGACTCAATGTCTGACATTTCAATTTCCTATTTTGCGTTCCAGCTTCATAATATAATAGTACGATTTACTAGCATACACATTAGTCGCATTTCTTTCTAACTGAACAAGTACAAAAGAGAAAGGACTAATTTAAAAAACAAATCAATATTCTTGGGTCACTGTTATGATTTGGTGTTTGGGTTTGGTTAAAACAATGAACACAATGAGTGAAACAGAAACCAAAACACCAGCCTAATAATATAGTCTTAAAAATGGCAAGTCAAAAACCCACTACATCATTAGAATACGAAAATGTAAACGGGATAAAACTTGTACTAAATGTTCATAAAAGACAAACTCCACCGCACGCCAGAATATTTACAATAACTTATAAAAATGTTAAAAGTAATAGTTCGAAAATAGGAGCAAAGGCGTCTCTGTTTCTAGCCATTATATTTAATTTAATAGCTCTATTTTATGTAAGGATAAGTTTAACAGCAATATTGGTTATAATAATTGTATTATCTTTCTTGGTCTTCTTTTGGTTCACTCACAGTGTTCAGTCAGGTTAGTATCGGCTATTTCTACTTTAATTACTTTCAACTGATTGCTCCGAAATCTGTATGGAGCTCCAACTCTAACCTCATGTTATAATCCCCTGGTCTGCCAGGAACACAGATCTAAACGAGACAGTGTATTATTATTATGTCTTCTAAAGTGGCAGTCACAAAGAATTCAGATAGCAGAGTGAAAAGAACAACTTAATCTGTGGTACTAAACCAGATCTTGTACTCATTACAGAATGTTTTAAATGTTAGAAGCGATGCCCTGGCGTTCCATACCTAGATTCATCATCATCATCATCAAGAATTATTACGTTAATCAAAACATTGCTTGTAATTTTCAGAAAGTCTTATAGTAATACCGACAGTATGTATTCAGAGCACAGTAAAGTATGTGTGGGGTCGAGAGGACACCTTTGTGGACTGGTCCAATGTTGATGATGTTATCATCAATGAAGTTATTAAAATGGTAAGCATTTCTGCTCAGTACTTAACCTTTCCTGTGTCTAAAATGGGGATCCACGTGAGACATTGTCTATTTTCTATTGTGTCTCATATCGGTACATTCAACGGGTTAAGCAAAGATTTTTAGAAGGCTTAAAGACATTTTGGTTTTCATATGACACCTAACATTATAAGTCAGGGGTTTGTTTAGGCGTTATGGCACACTATGTAACTTTTTCTTAGTTACAAAATTAACACATATACACCCGAATACTGAAAGGCAATTTAAGTTTTACTTAAATATCGTGCCATCTCCGATACTTTAGTACGAGTTTCTTTTACGTTTAAAGTATTAGAAACGAGTACACGTTAGGCACTCTGAGGGCTTAGTACAAGTTAGTTTTACGTTAAAAGTAATCGAAACGAGAACGCGTTCGGCGCTTTGATTGGTTGGTTCATTGGCGCCGGCCAATCACAGCGCCGAACGCGTACTCGTTACTATTACTTTAAACGAAAAAGAAACTCGTACTAAGGCCTCTGATTGGCCGGCACCAATAAACCAACCAATCACAGCGCCGAACGCGTACTCGTTACTATTACTTTAAACGAAAAAGAAACTCGTACTAAGGCCTCTGATTGGCCGGCACCAATAAACCAACCAATCACAGCGCCGAACGCGTACTCGTTACTATTACTTTAAACGAAAAAGAAACTCGTACTAAGGCCTCTGATTGGCCGGCACCAATAAACCAACCAATCACAGCGCCGAACGCGTACTCGTTACTATTACTTTAAACGAAAAAGAAACTCGAACTAAGGCCTCTGATTGGCCGGCACCAATAAACCAACCAATCACAGCGCCAAACGCGTACTCGTTACTATTACTTTAAACGTAAAAAAAACTCGTACTTATGACGACTTGAAATTGTGTGGCGTTTCAGTATTCAGACAATAGTTACTTATCTATTTATTTTGTTCTATTTCAGAATCGAGTTTTGTATTACCTAACATTATTGAAAAAGGAAGATAATCCTGATTCAGTGCGGCTGGTACCACTATTTAAGGTGAATGTAATATATAATCGCTAGCCATAGGGAGAAATTTCCAAAAAAAAAATGTTATAAATAGTTTTTACTTAATTCATGATTGAGCTGTATACCGATATTTCTTTCTATCTTTATTTCTCCTCACAATGACACTTATTCTAGTTTTATAATTTATATAATTAAAATCTATTTTTTATTGCAATGCGAGGAGCTGGAGTCTGTGTTAGGCCTGTATTACAAATCTTCAGGTCCCCATACCACAGAAGAACAAGAATTTTACATAATGTGAGATGTATTACAATTTAATTTGCAAAAACATTAAAACGAAGGAGTAGGAGGAAAAACATATTTCGGGTATTTTATATTAAAGAAATAAAATGTATGACCTAGACTACCTCTGCAAACGCAATACTTATAGTAATTTATAGTCTTAGAAAATACAATTAGGGTAAGAAAATTTTTAAAAAAGTGTGGGGGGAGAGTCATGTTTCGGCACGAATGGGCTGGCTCGACCGGAGTGATACCACGGCCTCATAGAAAACTGACGTGAAGCAACGTTTGCGTTGTGTTTCGTCGTGTGAGTGAGGTTACCGTAGGCCCAATTACCCTCCCCTTCCCCAATCTCCCCAATCCCTGAATCCCCAACGATCATCAAACTCCTAATCCCCAAAAGGCCGGTAACGCACTTGTAACGCCTCTGGTGTTCCAGGTGTCCATGGGCGACGCTGATTGCTTACCATCAGGTGATCCGTCTGCTCGTTTACCGGTTTATGCCAAAGAATATTAATTAATCTGACTTTTTTGTATAATTAATTAAAATAAAATTAATATTATTATTGTAATTTTAATTTCGCTTTTATTATTTTCAGTACACAAAACCAAGACTAGTAATGCTTCAGAAGATCTACTCGGAGATACAAACATTCCTGATGGATGCTCAAAAGGAGAGTTCTATGGCTTCCGGAGACAAAGAATGAAACAAATAACACAATTTTTTATAAGCAACATTTTACTATAGGTCGAATCAGTTCCTGAATTAATACATCTTTAACCTATTTACAAAAGGTTAAGCTTGATTTCATAATTTTATGACCGAATTTAATATTTCTCACTGCCAGACACTCTTGAAACCAATCTCAATGTCAATGCAATTTTAATCCAATAAAATCTCAATAATTATTCAATGTCAAAACCCCTTTCGTAGCTGTTGAAATAGCATTCAGAGTACGGAATATAAAATTTAACTCAATACCATTTAGTTTATTCAATATCTACGCAATATGGATGCAATGGGCGCTAGTGTTGCAACTCAAGAGTACGAAACTTCACAATACTAATGTCCATAGATCGGAATTGGATTCAAGAGTAAGCCTCTAGGTTTCCTGTAACTCTGATTATAAATAGACAAAATATGAAAGAGAATTTACATACATTTTTGTGTATTTTAATACTATTTATATCACAAATGTAAACGAACTTTAGTAATTTTTTAATTCAATATTTTTAGTCACAATTTATAAATAAGTATTTAATTCGAGGATTTAGTGGTTCAGTAAGTACTAAGTAGTATAATTGGGTAGTGAAATAATCGCAAATTGTTATATAGTTATGTAATTTACGTATTAAATTATTATTACTTATTATAGGTGAGTCATAGGTAGTAAATGTAGTGACGGCTAGATAGATGGAATGTTATTGTGTTCTAGAACAAACTGTTTTGTTTACATGTAGATTTTTTTACTTCTTTGATGGTGACCGAGTCTGTTTTACTTGTAGATAATTTGTCCTGAAGTATAGTAGTTAAGTTTTTATAATAACTATCGTGAGACATACTAAATCAAGTAAAAACGCGGGTTACTCACGTGAATATACTGAGAAAAGCTCTACTAGTTTTGAACCACAGAGGGGTTCTTCCTCATGAGCAGCGTGCGCGGTCGCGGCGACGTCGAAGGTATCAATTCTAATTGAACCAATTTCCAAGTTATGTTTGTTTTATTTTAAATGATAAATTATTCTAACAATTGTGAAGAAACTATTCCATCCTGGATTGTGTACAAATTCTATATTAATGTAACTTAGCTGTTTTTATGTGTTCATACTGTATTTGAAAAGACTATCTAGATAGTTCCAATTTTGAATTTGTTGTTATTATTAGATCAATTCTAAATTATGTTGTGATGTAGATTTAAGCAATAAATTGTTACTAGATACCTAATTATACGTGGGTTCTTGTCAATCGCCTTCTAAGAATTATTTATAATATAGAATTAAGGTAGTTTGACCAATATTTCTGTTCCGTGTCTTGATTGGTTCATGGACCCCCTCTCCAAAAGGTCAGCACCGTGCTTGTAACTCCTGTGCTATTGAGGGTGTTCATTGGACGCTGATTCGACCACCAGTTGTTCCGTCTACTCGTTTGCCTCACCTTACCATAAAAACAAGAGAGCATCGACATTTGTAGGTTTTACTTTATCAAACCAGTCTGAATTCGATACTTTCTTTAATCAAAAATAAATTATTTCGACTGTTGAATACAATAAAATATTAAAAAATAATCACACTTTCATTAAATGATTTTATGGCCAACTTTATTTTAGTATTTTTCCAGCAATTTTTTAAGAAATGAGTTTGATGTTTGGCGCTAAAAAGACGTGACGTCACAATATACAATCTCGTTGGTACAAAATTCATAGAAAACTATCGTTTTTGACAGTTCGAAAAAAGTATTGATTTTGACTAGTTGGCAATTAACCAATTGTGAAAACCTTATTGTGACTTCGTACTTTTTTCTATTCGACCCTCACCTCGTTGCGGGTACTAAAGGTGCGATATGCACAGCGGTACCGGTCAAACTATAGGTAACTATACTAGAGTCTGGCAAACAAAAGTAGAGACTGAAAAAGCCCGGCAAATTAAAAAAATATCAGTATAGCAATCCAAAAATTAGTATGTCATATCTGGAGTAACCTAATTTGATACTTTATAATAATTTGTTTGTTTGTTACGTCTTCACGTCTGGTTACTCCAGGTATGACATACTAATTTTTGGGTTGCTATACTGATATTTTTTAAATTGGCCGGGCTTTTTCAGTCTCTTCTTTCGTTTGCCAGACTCTAACCTACTGCTTAAAGTGTTTTACGAGAAAACTGTATTAGGCTTTTATTATTATAAGGGCCGATTTGCCAATCATCAGTTAATTCTTAACTGTAGAATAAAATTGACATTCGACAATTTTAAGTATGGGAGAATTCCGGTGCCCCGGTAACCCGTTAAGTTCTCCGCGGCAAGAGAAACGTCACAACTTCCCTAGATCAGCTGTTCTCTCTTATCTTTGTAAATAGGTAGGTCCTACCTTACCTATAGCTATCTAAATCGACACAATTGTTAGTTTTATCAAACGTTTTATATAAGCACTTGATTGATAGCACGTATTTATTATCTAGGAATGAGTAGCTACCTACTATTAAAGGTAGGTAGGTCATCATTGTCATTATCATCGCACAGCGTGCCGCGGGTTCGATTCCCGCACGGAGCAACTCTTTGTGTGATCCACAAATTGTTGTTATCGGTCTGGGTATCGTGTGTATGTGAACTTGTAAGTTTGTAAATGCACCCAGGCCACGACACAGGAGAAAAACCTAATGTTGGGGCAACGTTTTAAAAAAAAAACATCCCCTGCTGCACCGAGTCGTCCTCCTTAGTCCTCCGCGTCGAACAACAGCTTGTCACTGCATTCACTGGCTTCTCGCGACTATGGCGATATCGTCGGTCCATCTAGGCCAAGGAAGAGGCTGTAGGTTTCATACCTATAAGTATTATTAAACTACTTGAATAGGCCTCATTCATTAAGATATTACGTAACTTGACACATTACACAATTCCAAAAAATTCAATATTCTTGATCCCATCCGAGAATCGAACGCAAGACTTCTTCCTTAACAGCTCGGCGTACGACCACTCAGATAAACAACGAAAAAGCTTATTAATTTCAAGTCATAAGGAAAGACCAGGCCGTCAGCCAGAGTCTGACATTCCCTCTCGCCTCACCCGGGCGGGAGAAGTCATTGGATGATTTCTCCACGATACAAAAGACCAGACGATAACGGTCTTTTCTATTTCCTAAAAATTGTCAACTGTATAGGTAGGTACTACAAAAACTGATATCTACATAGGTACACATAAGCCCATAATCTTTGTTTCCAAGTGTTATTGATGTTAAACAACTCTATAAATAAATAGTCAGACCTTTGATCGTTACGATAACTATCCGTTACCAGTCGGCGGTAACACAAAGTTTATAACGATAAATTAACGGCAGAGCAACTAGATATGGATGCCAGCAGATTAAGCTACTCTTTTCTTATACTATCTTTAGGCGATTTTCTGCTCTATTTTGAGGCGTTAAGGTTGATAATTTATTGAATATTTTTGATATGTTATCATGTTAGGGTACATTGATGTGCTTCTTTTCTCTCGTGATAATGATAACGGCGTTATACAACTGACACACTGATAGTATTTGGATGGAAAATATTAAGTTTTTATCTAATGTGACTTTTTCAATTTTTGAGAGTGTGAAGTTGATTCTGAATGCGATCTTGTGATGTCATCTTTTCTTTCCTAAGATAGTAGCTGAATTAAGTACCTAGACTTTTGTTTGGCGGACTAGGATGGTGGATACCTACATTTTATTTAATGGGGTAAAATCGTCGAATGACTGCTCCCGCCTGGGTGAGGCGGGAGGGAGTGTCAGACTCTTACTGACTAAAAACCACGCCGTTCCTTCTCCTGCACTTCGAGCCGGAGCCCCGGTAACCCGTTAGGTTCTCCGTGACATAGGTACCTACATATTATATGTAAATGTTTACACTGCAGTTCGGAGTAAGTAGGTACCTTGAAGTTCAGGAAAAAGTATAAAGAGGGATTAATGGGGATGTGTCTCTAAATTAAATATTATTTTTGGGGAAAGGGCTTGCCTACTCTAACTCATTGTGTCCTCGAGTATGTTTTAGAGGTCGAACCCTTTTAAAATGTTATCTTTAAATAAAATAAAGCAGTCATGCAGCTTAGTTCAGAAAGCAAAAAATCCAGCCAGTTTGTCAGCTGTCCATTGTAGTTTGTTTTATTTTTGTTGTAAAAGTGCAACACGTCAACGAGCGTGAACCGTTCTGTATAATCCCGTTGTTAGCTGTAACTACAAAATTTATATACATAGAGTAACATCTGCCCCAATTTGTTTGCAATTTGCAGTTGAACTCACACAAGCCAAAAACACGAGCAATACGTTGAACCGCTCCATTGCTTTTCAGTAACGATCCGTCGGCTTCACGAGTGATCCCGACTGCACGAATTAACACCTCGCGGGCTTACAGCTGTGTAATTACAGAACACCCTTACAGAATTAATCGTCTAATTCATTCGCGATGTTGCTAAACATAGCAACGTGAGGTGCCGCGACACCTAGTGCTTTGGCAACTCCTGCGAGTTATCAGCTGTTTAATTATAGCCGCCATGACAGTTTAATACCATTACTGAATTCGGCACCGAACATTATTCACCTGAATCAGAACAATTAGCTTCGAAACCGAATGATCAGTGATTTGTTATTTCGATTCATTACATTACGTAATTGTACGATAGCTGTTTTCGTTTTATGTAGTCGATTTTATTTTGTGCTCGTGTTACTGTATCTTAAATAATAAGGGTTTAGTGAGGTTCGCGGGAATTGTTTGGGACGTCTCGAAATTTCCGCGACACTCGGGACAGGACCGCTGTTGCTCGGTATTCCCATGGCTTTCAGATTATTTCTTGCGGCGTGGATCGAGGAAATAGTTTGCTGTTCAAACTTGTGACTGTTACACTTTTAATTAAAATGAATGTATGTATACGTACTTTATTTAGGGGGATGGCCAAATTGAGACAATTGAGGTGACATTTTCTGATATTTACTAATAGTAATGAGTTCGAGACGGATCA